TTAATGCCATAAGTTAAAATATACATTGACAATAGATTATAGAAGGTCAATAGTCATCCATTTGAGAGATGTTTGTGTTATTTCCTCTACCATGCTTTTCAGGTGGCCTAGGTTTGGGTGGGTATATTGATCCTAGGTATTATTCGTAAGCAAATGGAAAATAATACTATATTCTGACAGCCAAAATTAGCCTAAAAGCATTGTATAACATTTATTGGTAAATAAGTGGGGTTGCAAGCATTCTAGATAGACGAACCGTAAACTCGGTGACTTGAATAGAGCTAGCAATTGGATCAAACATCCTGCCTCCTTATACATTTCGAGAACGAAAGCAATACATGATGTTGACTTCCCATCACTATAACCCAATCATCCTGCTCAGGAATTGTCAGCAGTTCATCAAAGTATAGCCCACGCTTTTCAGTTTCTACTAATAAATCGGAAGATCAAGATCCTGAAAAAAACAAAAACTTATCAAGTATTCAATAATGACATGTTGCACATTGTATTTCAACAATAATTTGTTTATCACTTAACAATTAGTCTAACATTTTTGTAGACAAGGGACCGGTGTTAAGATTAAGCCATCTTATCCATTTTTTTGCTCAGATACTTAAGTGAAAAATGTCTAATCTAAAAGATCAAAATAAAGATGTTTACCATGTTAATTGTCCTACCAAAGTTCACAAACTGAATTATCTAATAAGTATTGTTTGATGCATGAAGCACCAGATTTCAGACATTTTAATTATAAAACAGAAGCATGATCTGGAATGGAGACTAATTTTTATTATACCTGAGTTCCAAGCCGCTTGTTCAAGGCTTCATTCCACATATTTGCAGCATAGTGCCGGCTGTATATGGTTCCACATAGTCATAACAGAAGCAACCTGTAAGACCATAATGTTAGCATTCAACTTTTAATCATGAACAGAGAAACTATATTCTTCATAAAATTCAATTGCAAATACACAAGATGGAAAGCACAACTGAAATTATAACCATTATAAAACTGGTTAGCAGTCGAAGAACTATAACATCTAAATTTCAATCTGATAAAGGCAGAAAACAAGGAGGCCATCGCATCATTATAATATAGAATTGTTTTTGTGCCTATGAGCTTAACACTGGATTTAATAAGAAATTCAAAGAGACAATGAAACAAAATCTCCTGGGCCTTTTCTTGGTGCACCCCCTTGTTTTCAAGCAACATGTAAAGCTCACAATGACAGAATAGAGTAATATCACCAACACAACAAATACTTTCAAAAGAATGAGTAGACGACAAATCATCAGATATAAACTTGGGTGGCAAGAAGTGAAAAGCTGATTAGACAATGAAAAGAAGGAAATATAAGGAAGAAGAGAATATCATAACACATATATTCAGATACGGAAAATTTATTACCAGATGAGCATCCAAGGGGGTGGATAATTGCCATCTATAGTGTCTATCCAGCTAAATATCAGGTTATGATACCATAAGGTTTTCCTGCCATGCTTAAGCATACTCCCATGCAGCAGTCTCATTAACCTGCCTCGAATATCAGGATGCAAAGGAAGCAATGCTATATGGGGATTGGAATCATCCTTATTCAGCTCAAATTCCCACCATTCATCCCAGGGTACACTGCAATTATATCTTCACCCTGAAAAATGAAAGGCAAACTCAGTATTAATCTATACTACCAGAAGATATAATCAGCCACCACTTGATTTCCTAGCCCATAATAATCTAGCATACCCAAATATCAGTAACAAGAAATTTTCGAAACAGCATTTCAAGACTCACTTAATCCCTCATAGGCTGTTTGCATGTGGTTAATCATTCGTATAAGAGATTTAGCAACAGATTTGTTGTTCTCTATAAACTAAAAGAACTAGTTATGTTGAGGATGTTACAATGAAGGCAGAACTGGGAACACATAAGGATATAACATTTAATTGTACACCCAAAAAAAATCTGTAAATAGCATGAAACATTCAATAGCAATGCCACAACTAAATAGCTCCAGCAACAGTTTTGCACTACATATTGATAATACCAGACTAAAGGTTCTAACTGGAAGTAAATGAAATTTAAGAAATAAAATGACCTGAAGGACCTCATAACAGTTTCAAACTCAATGGAGTCCTATAATACATCATTTCTTAGAAAGTCTATGGTTTTACTGGTCATTTTCGTGCCCTGATTCACCAACCCTAGCTTCCCTTCAGAACCCTTAAGCAACAGCAGAATGACCAGCGTAAGATCCCTGACCCACTTCTCCAAAGTCTCAAAACCTCCCCACCTTCCACGGATCTTTGAAATTGCAAGGAAATCGCCAGTTTAATGCCTTCAACACTGACATTTGTAACCCAGGGCTTAGGACGCTCTTCAAGTTAGCTCCCATGTGCTTGTTGAGAAACCCAATATTGGAGCTCTCACCCCATCCAGTATTAGTAAATAGAGGAAAGACATCCCATAGTGCTTCAAGGGTTCCAAGCATCCCAGCTTGCATGAGGAAGATTGAAACTCCCTTGTTTTTCACCTGATATTATATAAGTACACACACAGAATAGAAAACAAATATGTGTTTCAACTTCAAAACTGTCTACAACAAGGGGTAGTTCTGAATAATAGAAAGTTGAAACTCACATATTCATACTCGGCTTTCCCTTCCCACTCTTTGAATTCAAAAGTATGCTCCCGGACAAAATAGTAGTCCCAAGACACACGGTACGGTTGCAAAGACATAAAGATCCATGCATGTCAACTAGAGCTTTGGTAACCTGGATAGCACATAGATACTTCTTTAAGTACTTTAAGTTTTGAAATGTAACAACCAATTCTTTTACTGACCGATAAGAGACACAAGCAGTTACAACTAAATAACTTCCAAGTAAAATTACAAGGCAGAAGCTGAAAAGCACAATCAAATCTGATACCTAACAAAAAACAACCCAAATTCCTAAATTCAACCTAAACACAAAACATTATCCACAAAACCTAAATATTCACAAGACAACAAACGTCAACAGAACCAATCAGCCACAAAGTTACAAAAGAAACATGCAAATCAAATTATTTAATGAACCATAACTCGAGAAAACCTCAAATTCAGCTCCAGAAAGTTCAAAATCACGCAACTAAACAGACCCAATAGTCTCACCATTTCATCCAAACAAAAACCACAAAATCTATGAAAGTAATTCGAAAACCTAAACTTTAAGCAAACCCTTTCTCTAACACAATAAAACAAAAAAAAAAAAAAAAAAAAAAAAAAAAAGGCCAACTTACCAGATGAGCAAAATCCAATTACCCACATAACAAATTTCCCAAAAAAAAAAAAAAAAAAAAAAAAGGAGTACCTTGATATGAAGAGTCCCACCACCAAACTCAGAGCCAGACTTTATGAAACTCCATCCACGCCTGGTTCTCATAAAGCACGCACCCTTCCACTCAACGGTGTCATTTAACGAGGACGAACCCCAAACGCCGGCGCAGTCCGCCGCGCCTTTGAGCGAGTTCAAGATTGCCCAGACCTGTCGGGGCAACAGAGGAAGAACATCGCGAGGGTGAAAGGGTAATTCGTCGAACAGGTTGCGTGCGTGAACAGAACGATAACATTGTGAAAACGTCAAACAAAGAGAAGAAGATGAAGGAGATGGCGCCATGATCGGAGTTGAAGGCATCAGAATCGAGAAATCAACACTGGGTTTAAAGTGTTGTTCTTCGTTTAAGCATTCTATCTGGGTTCGCTTGATGATTCTTGGACGCATAGCCATTAATTTTGGTTTGTTATTTTATTAGCATTGTCGCTTTTGCAAAATTCAAGGTTTTCATTATAAACGATTAATCATACATCTAATTAGACTTGAATAATTTGTATATTTTAATATTTTATATTATATTTAAAATTCATTTAGTGTTGAAATTGTATTATAGTTTTTGTACCATATCATGGTCTAAAGTTTAGAAAAAACAAAACACTAATTAAAACTTATATTTCTATTCTACATACTCCTTTTAGTATATTTTTGTACCTTTGAAATTTCTATTACTAAAGGTTTCTCTTGTCTTGAGTATCATAAACTTGTACATGTTTCTTTAACGTCACCATCATTTATTACTTGTAGGGAACTACAACCTCCATGTTAAAACAAATTATGAAATTATTCCACCTAACTTTTCTCATATAATCGGGACTTTTTTTTTTTTTTTTTCTTTTGAAAAATGTAAACAAAACCCACATTAGATTGAACTCAATGTTTATGATACGTGATTTGTTTAAATAAAGTTAAGAGTCTTAAGTTTGGAATTCAGATCAAGTTTTTTCATAATCGATTTATAAATTACTTCTTACATATTAGAAACATGACTGAAAAATTTGGTAATATTATCGAAGATAATTTAAAACAATAAAAAAAAAAGTATAAATTGTGAATTCAAAATTGGCAAATGTAGTAAGAGAAAAATGTATCGAGGCATTTCTCCTTCTCAAGGTATCTTTAGAAGTATATATGCTTGCAACTTTGAATATTCTTTTAAGATATTTTTTTCCTCAACTAAGCTTGCAACTTTGAATATTCCTCTACAATACGTTTTTTCTCGACTAATCTTTAAAGTTCATTAAACACCCTATAAGCTCAGATAAGTCATAATGTTATTGTATTAGGTGACCCTAAGGTTTGAATTTATTAATTCAAGGAAGAGAGCAAATTTCCTTGACCGTCAGGCCAATATCCCAACTCTCTCTTACAATTTTCACAGATAAACAAAACAGGAGGAAGAATTTTGATCACAAACTTCAACCACATACGCAAAGCTTTATCCTTCCTCATGAACCATCCTCCAACCATATTTCCCATCAAATCCCGGTCCTCACTTGCCTCTAGAGCTAAAACCAATCCAACGGCTCAAAAGGGGGCTATATTCTCATGGACCACCTCAGAGTTGATTACTTTTTTCTATGGTTCCATTTGCACACAAGTTATAGAACCCTATAGCCCCACGCATATTCTATTTGCACCACAATCTTCTTCTTCTTCTTTTATCAGTCTCTCCATGGAAATCCCACTTCTGTTTTAAGCCACAAGTTTCATGCATTTCCCTCAACATGTTTATATATAGCTTCTCATTGCACTCTTGTTTCGATTCTCTTAGAGCCAGTATTCTTCAATGGCTATCCTACCCCATCAAAAATGTTCATTAAGGTCCCTAGAATATGTCCCCACATGGCATCGGCCGTGCCACAGTACGCGTGTCATATGCTCAGCCTCTACCAGTACCAAGCCTGAGCCCAGGTCGAGCAGTCCTAACCAGCTAATCATCGAGCCACGGCTATTAGCTTCTCCTCCTCTGTTCAATGACCCAACTTTGCAGTCAACATCGGCTCATCGAGCTTGGGTCGCAACTGGGTGCACCACTGTGCTTATTTCACTAGCCAAGTCCATGGTGGCTGCAGCCTCTTCTCATGTCTGGCTTGAGCCCATTTTGGCAGGCTACGTTGGTTACATTTTAGCTGATCTTGGGTCCGGTGTCTACCACTGGGGCATTGATAATTACGGTGATGCTTCAACGCCGATTTTCGGTTCACAAATTGATGCCTTCCAGGGTCATCATAAGTGGCCCTGGACGATCACCAGGCGCCAATTTGCTAACAATTTGCATTCCTTAGCTAAAGCCATAACCTTTACAGTGTTACCTTTGGATATCTTTTGTAATGATGCAAGTATTACTGGATTTGTGAGTGTCTGCGCAGGCTGCATTATGTTTAGCCAGCAATTTCATGCCTGGGCTCATGGTACTAAGAGCAAGTTGCCGCCATTAGTGGTGGCGTTACAGGATGCAGGGGTGCTTGTGTCGCGGTCACAACACGCTGTACATCACAGGCCGCCTTACAACAACAATTACTGCATAGTAAGTGGAGTTTGGAATGAGTTTTTGGATAAACAGAAGGTGTTTGAAGTCTTGGAGATGGTCTTGTTTTTCAAACTTGGTGTTCGACCCCGGTCTTGGAGTGAACCCAACTCTGAGTGGGCTGAAGAGGCTGAGACTCCTTCTCAAGTTGCAGCACGCTGATAATTTTTTTTTTCTTCTCGAGGGTTTGATAAGTTTATGGCCATTTCCTTTTTCTTTTTGATGGATAAGGTGAAGGAGGAAAACAAAACAATATTGCTACTTTTATGGATCAGTCCTCTGCTAGATACAATTTATAAACAAAATTCTACAGGGTGAAGATTGTGGGGCGACCTGAATTAGTGGTTGCAAGCATTCTAGATAGACGAACCGTAAACTCGGTGACTTGAATAGAGCTAGCAATGGATAAACAATCCTGCCTCCTTATACATTTCGAGAACGAAAGCAATACATGATGTGACTTCCCATCACTATAAACCCAATCATCCTGCTCAGGAATTGTCAGCAGTTCATCAAAGGATAGCCACGCTTTTCAGTTTCTACTAATAAATCGGGAAGATCAAGATCTGTAAAAAAACAATAAAACTTAATCAAGTATTCAATAATGACATGTTGCACATTGATTTCAACAATAATTGCTTAATCACTTAACAAGTAGTCTAACATTTTTGTAGACAAGGGACCGGTGTTAAGATTAAGCCATCTTATCCAAGTTTTGCTCATGAAATACTTAAGTGAAAAATGTCTAATCTAAAAGATCTAAAATAAAGATGTTTACCATGTTAATTGTCCTACCAAAGTTCACAAACTAATTATCTATAAGTAAATTGTTGATGCATGAAGCACCATGATTTCAAGACATTTTAATTATAAAAACGAGGAAGCATGATCTGGGAAATGGAGACTAATTTTTTATATACCTGAGTTCCAAGCCGCTTGTTCAAGGCTTCATTCCACATATTTGCAGCATAGGGCTGTATATGGTTCCACATAGTCATAACAGAAGCAACCTGTAAGACCATAATGTTAGCATTCAACTTTTAATCATGAACAGAGAAACTAATTCATTCATAAAATTCAATTGCAAATACCAAGATGGAAAGCACAACTAGAATTATAACATTATAAAACTGGTTAGCAGTCGAAGAACTATAACATCTTAAGATTTCAATCTGAAAGGCAGAAAACAAGGAGGCCATCGCATCATTAGTAATATAGAATTGTTATTTGTGCCTATGAAGGCTGAACACTGGATTTAATAAAGAAATCAAAGAGACAAATGAAACAAAATCTCCTGGGCCATTTTCTTGGTGCACCCCCTTGTTTTCAGAGGCAACATGTAAAGCTCACAATGACAGAATAGAGGTTAATATCACCAACACAACAAATACTTTCAAAAGATGAGTAGACGACAAATCATCAGTATAAAACTTGTGGTCAAGAAGGGAAAAGCTGAAGACAATGAAAAGAAGGAAATATAAGGAAAGAAGAGAATATCATAACACATATATTCAGATACGGAAAATTTATTACAGATGAGCATCCAAGGGGGTGGATAATTGCATCTATAGTGTCTATCCAGCAAATATCAGGTTATGATAACCATAAGTTTTCCTGCCATGCTTAAAGCATACTCCCATGCAGCAGTCATAAACCTTGCCGATAATCAGGATGCAAAGGAAGCAATGCTATATGGGGTTGGAATCATCCTTATTCAGCCAAATTCCCACCATCATCCCAGGGTACACTGCAATTATATCTTCACCCTGAAAAAATGAAAGGCAAACTCAGTATTAATCTAATGACTAACAGAAGTATATAATCCGCCACCACTTGATTTCCTAGCCCATTAATTCTAGCATAATCCAAAATATCAGGTAACAAGAAATTTTCGGAGAACAGCATTTCAAGACTCACTTAATCCCTTCATAGGCTGTTTGCATGTGGTTAATCATTCGTATTAAGAGATTTAGCAACAGATTTGTTGTTCTCTATAAACTAAAAGAACTAGTTATGTGAGGATGTTACAATGAAGGCAGAACAGTGGGGAAACAAATAAGGATAAATAAAACATTTAATTGTACAAAACCCAAAAAAAAAATCTGTAAATAAGGCATGAAACATTCAAAGCAATGCCACAACTAAATAGCTCCAGCAACAGTTTTGCACTAACATAATGTATACCAGACTAAAGGTTCTAACTGGAAGTAAAATGAAATTTAAGAAATAAAATGACCATGAAGGACCTCATAACAGTTTCAAACTCAATGGAGTCCTTAATACCATCATTTCTTAGAAAGTCTATGGTTTTTACTGGTCATTTTCGTGCCCTGATTCACCAACCAAGCTTCCCTTCAGAATCCCTTAAGCAAACAGCAGAATGACCAGCGTAAGATCCCTGACCCACTTCTCCAAAGTCTCAAAACCTCCCACCTTCCACGGATCTTTGAAATTGCAAGGAAATCGCCAGATTTAATGCCTTCAACACTGACATTTGTAACCCAGGCTTAGGACGCTCTTCAAAGTTAGCTCCCATGTGCTTGTTGAGAAACCAATATTGGAGCTCTCACCCATCCAGTATTAGTAAATAGAGGAAAGACATCCCATAGTGCTTCAAGGGTTCCAAGCATCCCAGCTTGCATGAGGAAGATTGAAACTCCCTTGTTTTTCAACCTGATATATATAAAGTACACACACAGAATAGAAAACAAATATGTGTTTCAACTTCAAAACTGTCTACAACAAGGGGTAAGTTCTGAATAATAGAAAGTTGAAACTCACATATTCATACTCGGCTTTCCTTCCCACTCTTTTGAATTCAAAAGTATGCTCCGGGACAAAAAATAGTAGTCCCAAGACACACGGTACGGAGTTGCAAGACATAAAGATCCATGATGTCCAACTATGAGCTTTGGTAACCTGGATAGCACATAGATACTTCTTTAAGTACTTTAGTTTTGGAAATGAACAACCAATTCTTTTACTGACGATAAGAGACACAAGCAGTACTACAACTAAATAACTCCAAAGTAAAATTACAAGGCAAGAAGCTGAAAAGCACAATCAAATCTGATACCTAAACAAAAACAACCCAAAATTCCTAAATTCAACTAAACTACAAAAAACTATCCACAAAACCTAAATATTACAAGACAACAAACGTCAACAGAACCAAATACAGCCAAGTTATAAGTACAAGAACAATGCAAATCAAATTATTTAATGAACCATAAACCGAGAAAACCTCAAATTCAGCTCCAGAAAGTTCAAAAATCAACGCAACATAAACAGACCCATAGTCTCACATTTCATCAAAACAAAAACACAAAATCTATGAAAGTAAATTCGAAAAACCTAAACTTTAAGCAACCCTTTTCTCTAACACAATATTAAACAAAAAAAAAAAAAAAAAAAAAAAAAAAAAAAGGCCAACTTTACCAGAGATGAGCAAAATCCAATTACCCACATAACAAATTTCCCAAAAAAAAAAAAAAAAAAAAAAAGGAGTACCTTGATATGAAGAGTCCCACCACCAAACTCAGAGCCAGACTATTATGAAACTCCATCCACGCCTGGTTCTCATAAAAGCACGCACCCTTCACTCAACGGTGTCATTAACGAGGAGGCAGAACCACAAAACGCCGGCAGCAGTCCGCCGCGCCTTTGAGCGAGTTCAAGATTGGCACGAGACCTGTCGGGGCAACAGAGGAGAACATCGCGAGGGTGAAAGGGTATTTCGTCGAACAGGTTGCGTGCGTGAACAGAAGCGATAACATTGTGAAAAGCGTCAAACAAAGAGAAGAGATGAAGGAGATGGCGCCATGATCGGAGTTGAAGGCATCAGAATCGAGGAAATCAACACTGGTTTAAAGTGTTGTTCTTCGTTTAAGCATATTCTATCTGGTTCGATGAGATTCTGCTATAATTAATTATTCTATAAATCAATTAAGTAATGTTATAATAATATAATTAATTAAGTAATCATTTAACTATAATGTAATGATATAATTGATTAAGTATGATATTTAACTAGTAATTAAATTTATTAATGTTTATTAATTTATCATATATAATTAATTAATTGCTAATTTACTATAGATATATTTAGAACTTGATAATTGAAGTAAATAACTAAATATATTATTATTCAATCAAATATACTTTTATTCAAAAATAATTCTTTTAATAACATTAAAACACTTTTAATTGGATCCTAATTCCAATTATACACTTAATTAATTAAAACCTTAATATTAATATATTATAATATATTAAAGTTTTTAATATGGTGCAGTTTATATGTAATAAGTATAATTGTATATTTATTTAATTAGGTTATTCTAAAAATTTAACTTTTTCTATTTTAATTTTTTTTTTATATGTAAAATAATGAAACCCCCCCATTATTCACAAATATTTCATTGCAGCCCAATTTCCAAAACAGGTTCCAAAAATTGATTCCAAACAGGTTTTAAACTGGATACCCTCTACAAGTTCCAAGCATGTTCCAAACTGGGTACCCTCTACATGTTCTTTTTTTAGGTTCCGGTTTCGGTTCTAGTTCCTCTACACATAAGAACCGGAACTGCACAATGTCGGTTCTAATAAAATGGAACCGAAACCTACCTGCACAGTATCGGTTTCAGTTCTACCTGCAGGTTCTGGTTCTATCCGTTACCCGTGCTCACCCCTACCTTCTTGACTTTTTTCCTTATCCACCTCCCAGTTTTTCTTTTCCTGCTTAGGAGAAGAGCATAAAAAAGGTTCCCTCCAGGTTCACTCGGACTTCCCATTAAAGGCCAAAGCCTTGGCCTTCTTAGAGTTAGAGCCATGAAGGCCAAGGCTTCGGCCTATAATGGGACAAAGAAAAAGAAAGTATGGTCCCGTATCAAAGTTAAGCCTCTATGGAACACCAACCAGTGACAGCAGTGATAGCATATTCGCAGAACCATCAAAAGTTGACCCAAGTGGATTTGCGAATCAACCGTCCATTCCTCCTTACTGCCATATTCCATTTGGAGGGGGACCTCGTTTATGTCCAGAATATGAGCTTGCCAAAATCGAAATCCTTGATGCAATTAATTATCTAGTCACTGGATTTACATGGAAGCCACTATGTTCAGGCAAAATTTTCAGTGGGGATTCTGCACCTTTCCCAACTAAAGGACTAGTTAATTGATTCATGTAACTGATACAATGGATCTTTCAGAATAGTTTCAGTAGTGTCGCTGCTTTTAGTTGCATCGAAATCTAGTACACATTCTATTCCATCAAGCTCAATGATGATTTTGTCATGAAATCAGGGTCCGAAACATGAAGAAATCGCAGCATTTC